GCGTATGAGCACACGAGCATCTGTGATAACGGCGCGGTGGCGCCCGTTATCAGTTTTTCTTGGTACTGATTTGTTGAGAAACATGGCTTGAAGATAGCTTGTAATTCTTGAATGCGTTATTCCGTACGAATTGTANGCTACAACGCGAATGTATGAAAATGCTACGTGATGAAATTCGATCAGTTTTGGTTATAGTATTATAAACAATTTATTTTCAGTTCCATGAAATGGAAGGTTCGAGTATAGCCAAGAAACCGGGGAAATTGTTGAATCTTGGCTTACACGAGCAACAAGACGAACTCGAACAGGTTGTTGTATTAGTCACAAAATATTGTTTCTTCATCATGGCTTCTAGAAGAAGAGCTAGGGAATTTGTGCTCAGACTCAGGCACGATTCTACGTTTAGGCAGCGAAGCTTAACCGTTTTGCGAATCTTAGAGTCACACCAGTAAAAGTTCATGATCAGTTCTGAGTAGTGTGAGTAAAGTTTTGTCCATTATTGACCAAAACTGTGGTCAGCTGAGGAGCATTATGGTTTCAAGAATGCTGATGCACTAGGCCGAACATACAATTCGTTCATTATTTGCAATATTTATTTGAACGATCACTATTGCTTTGTTTCAATGAGCAGTTTCAATTGCAGTCTACAAAATATCCAGGCAGCTTTCTTGAATATATGAATCGAAATGAATGAAACGTCGATTCTTTAATCCGAATCAAACTTCAGAAACTCGAAAATGGCTTCGCAATTGTGCTCAGCCGAATGGGTAACTTACATGAACGCGAGGCGCACGATCAGCTTTTGCAAGCAGTCGCTGACGCAAAGGTTCTGACGTTTTTATTTTCTGGAAACTGCAAATTTTCCTATAGCGATTGAAAAATTTCAGTCGGAATTTCAATTTCAGTGTCGTTTTCAAACAGTATCTTTCCAGCTATAAAAATTTTGAAAATACAGTTAGTGTCGTATGACTTGAGTGAATTCATTGCATTCCAGATGTACGAAGTTGTTATCGGTGGTTTACTGTATGGTGTCCTTTCGGATCCAGTGAATGCGAGTAAGGTGAGAATGAATCTGATGATGTTTTTATCGTTCGAAAAAAAAATTTTTAGAGTAAACCTATCGTCAAAAAACCACTCATAAAACGATAATTTAATTGTTCGATGTTCATTTCGTATGGTTTGAGTTTATGTGAATTTTGTTGACATTCATTTGTGTGATTGAAAAAGTCGAAAAACATGAAACCAATTTTGGACAGAAGAAGTTGAACGTTAGAAATTGATTGCAGTATTATGATGCACTGACGTTGGTTGCGAATGGTTCGTGGTTCTGTGCGTTGTGCAACGTGAACATGGTACTGTTTGAACTGTATCCACGACTGCACAACGAGGCACGTCAACAAATTCTGTTCTTCTTTCGAGAATCGATCAGAGTGAATGTTCCCAAAATCGATAACGTCCTCATCAATCTGATCCGAAACGCTAACGATGGTTAGTAACAGATTTGTTTTGCGTGCCATCGCGGTTTTTCACAGTTATACAACTCATGAAATTTTATCGTGGTACACTGAATTGTGTTTTGCACCATCGAAACTCGGAGAAATCCTGGATAGTAACTGTGATCCTGAATGGTAACTGGGATTTATTAAATCTTGGACTGTTAAGAGACATTTTTGGTGTGAGTGAATGTGCCATAATATTTATAGAATATGGTGTTTTTCCTTCCGAGTGAAGATATTATTTCAATGTGTGTTTGTTTCTGCAATTGCATGGGTTGTGTGTGTCTTTTACGAATGAAACTTTCTGAGGAGGATTGAATGTGTTCAGTTGAATTCAACTGGTAGGCATCTAGAGAAAATTCGATTTGATTTGGGAATGTGATTTGAAGAGTTTTAAATGAGTTTCAAATACTTTCAGGTGGTGACTTCAAAGACAGTTGTAAAATGCTGACGGGCGTTGTGGGTTTGCTGAATGAGAATTACCCGTGGTTGAGTAATCTTAAACCGAAAGCTTCGCTTATTCCTGTTATATTGATCGTATTTTCGAGGTAAATTCTTCAAATTTGCGTTGATTTCTTGTGATCGATTCGATCTTTTCATTATGCAATGATAAAATGAAGTAACTTTAAAGGTATATTTATGAACTAACGATGACCTCACAAAATGATTCGTTATGCACACAAATGGTGAAGTGTTGCGAATGGCTTCTGAAGGAACGTTTCATGGATTGCGCGCAACTGGGAAGAGACTTAGTGCTGATTTTAATGTTGCTCTCAAAAATACCTCAGTTCTCTGTTATATGGAAAAACCTCCAACATAGTCCGACGAAGCTGGCACCAAATTTTGGAGGTTTTGGTTTACTTTCGATCATCAGATTTTCGATTGAAACTTTTTTT